GTATATATGTATATATATAGGGACATATATTAATTAGGGCTGTGGAGGAGCTACAGTCCTCCACAGGTGTTGACAGATGAAGAACAGAGCTCATTTATACCAGGGTGCAGATTTGTGTGTGTGTGTGTGAGTGTGTGTGTGTGTAGGTGTGCTCTGACCAGGTGTGTGTCCAGGTACACCCTCAGGCTGTCCAGATCCTGTCTTGGCTGCGTCCAGTTCTCCGTGCTGTCCAGGGCTTCCTGCAGCCACGAGATGAACCCGTCCAACTGCTGCACAAAACACTGGGGACGAGGGACAGGGAAACAGAGAGAGAGAGAAGAAGATTAAAAACATGACTGAACTACTGGACGACAACAGGACAACAGAAAGAATGGAGGGATGAGAAGAGGAAGGAAAGTCAAAGAAAAGAAGAGCCTCAAAAAGCAGAGGAGAGGAGACAAGGGAATGAAAGTGCTGCACATCAAAATAAAAAAAACATTTGTTAAAAAGAAATCCTGAAATTGTCAGAGAGTCAGAAAAACATTAAGAAAAAGAGACAATTACCAAAGAAACAGTTATTAAAAAGTATAAAACCAAATCAAACAGGAAATCAATGAAAGGAAGATCAACTGTAAAAGTGGAGATCGACGACTTTTCGTTAGTGACTCAAACACGGAGAGGAGCAACAGTCGTTTGACTGTAGACATTTACTGCCATCTAGCGGTAGACAGGAGTTAACTGACTTTCTAACTGAATTTCTCAGGATCAAATGTGTAGGAAGGAGAGAAGTAGAGGTAAAGAGGAGGACGTGTCAATGGGAGACATAATAGACCAGGAGAAAGAAATAAAGGACAACAACGACAAGTGAAAGAAAAGTCAGAAAAGAAACAACAGATGAGGTGTGCATAGAAACTTTGGGAACCACTGTCCGCTCCATTCCTGAGGCCTGTCCTCTGCTGTAGTGCAGGTTCAAACAGCCTCCTGACAAAATGACTCTCTTTCTTCCTCCCTTCCTCTCCATCCGTCTGTCCTTCTGTCCTTTATTTATTCTCTACTCACTTTCCCGTTATTTCATCCATTTGTTCACTACTCTCCCACTCTCCTTACTTCCGTCCTAACCCTGCCACATCTTTCCTAATTTAAAATATTCCATTTGTGCCCTTCTTCCCTCACTGTTTGATTCCTTGTCTCCTCTCCTTCCTCTTTCCTTCCTTCCTTCCTCATTCACTTCATCTTAAATGTTTTAAAACCAATTCCACGTCAAGGTTTCTCCTCAAGACAAACAACTTTATCTTCATTGCTGTAACTTTAACCTGTGTATACACACACACACACTTATACATGTGCGCACACACATATACACACACTTATTTTCCCCTCCTTTCTGCTAACAGTGGGAGGCCCCGCCCACCCCCCACCGGGCCAATCAGACGAGCGTTGATGTGAGTCTGTTGTCTGTCCGTCCCCCACTGATCTCAGAGCGGCCGACGTGCAGGGAAACTCAGAGGCCTCACACTGAGACACACACACACACACACACGTGCAGACACACACTGATCACATGATGTGCAGGACACTTATCTAACACACAAACTCTGCAGTTTTCTCCTTCTGTTGGTTCTCAGACGTGTTGAGCTCACGGCGCCGCGGTGCAGCTGATTTTCCCTCCTTTGTGTTTTGTTTCCTCATCAACTTTCACACAGAGACTCGCAGGTTTTTACGTGACGTGGACACAAAACACAGCTGCGGCAGATCAAAATGAATAAATGAGGGAGGTAAAGGTTTAGACCACAACAACGCAGGAGGTCAAAGGGCAAGCAGAGAAAAGTAAAGATGTAAAAAAAATAAAATAATACAGACTGTGAATAAATATTCAGCTACAACCAAACAGTTGGTCAAAGTTGAGTCAGAACATCCCGGCTGCCACATCCACTGCTCATTTAGAAAAACAGGAATTTATCCAGTTTTATTTTGAGGAACTCCCTGGTCCCTGGTAAATAATCTTGACTGCATTATTCTACTATAACAACAGTGTATAATATCCTCCTGTTATAATAACCCAAGAGCCACACTAAACACAGCAGCTGTCTGCTGATCTGCTGCTGCTTTGTCTAATTCTGTCTGGTAAACAAGACACAAGGTTTCACCACAGACACCAACCAATAACAACAGCAGAGAATTATCAATGTTTGTCAAGACTAACAAAACAGGGATTTCAATGGACTTTGACAGAGAAAACAGTTCTAGACCTGGGTTTTTGAGTCACTAGTCTGCTGCTGCTGCCCCCTCTGGTCAGTTTGTATCACTTACACACACTCACCAAACAACAAATGAATTGATGAAAGATCAACAACTATACTTATACTAATTTATATATATATATATATGTGTGTGGTTTGAACGTCCTGCTGTGGTGCTGTGTACCACCTTATGGAGTCAGTACCTCACACCGTTAACAAGTCAACACACATTTGAACTAAACTAGACTTTGTTCCATCGACACTACCTGCTGTGTCTTTTTTCACCTGCATTATTAAATCCAATGAAGTGGAAGAAAATGAAAGCATCCCACTGACAGCCGACCTGACTGATTTCACCTGCTTTAAAGGGAGGTTTCCACCACTTTCTCCTCAGTTCATCTTCTCTAACCCAAATGGAATCATCTCCATCCTGACAACAGACACATCCCAGACCTGAGGAGAGTAGATTTGGTACAGATGGATTATTTCTCTTCTCTTTTACCATTTGATTCACTCCTGTTCCAGCTGCCATCACTCCCCCCCACCCCCCCACCCCTCCCTCTGGACGGGTGATTCCTCTTTCCTTTCTTTTCTCTTCTCTATCGTATTCAGCCGAGACTCTCAGAATGTCATTCTCCACTCTAGGAGCGCTCTCCTCCTCCTCCTCCTCTTTCTCCTGCTCCTCTCTCCACTTCCTCCATTAGGTAGTTCATCCATCGCCATGATTACATGCTGCTAATTAGGCAGCTAATCAGCTAATTACCCAGGAGCATAGAGCAGCTACCAGTGTGTGTGTGTTTGTGTGTGTGTGGCACAGCAAAACGCGTGTGTGTTAGTAAATCTGTTTTGTTTTTTTTTTACTTTTTTTAAAAGAGTTTAACAAAATATAATATTGACATTAATTTAACATTAAAATAGTTTCCAAATTTTTTGCTCCGTGTCTTGAGTCTTGCTGAAGAATTGCAAGAATCTGTCAACTCTTTTCCCACCCTATTTGTGTGGAAGGCTTTGGTCATTTTGACCATGCTATAAAATTCAAAAAAATCAAATGAAAAATGTCTAAATGACTCCATAACATTGGAAGATTCAGATATAACTTTGGTGCTGTGAGGTCAAATGTTTATCATATATTATAAACAAAACATTAGCTTTGATTATTGAACGGCAGCTCCAATAATCAAACATTTTTAAGGAGCTGGTTATTGAAATTAAGGAACCTTTAAAACCTTAAAAACATCATTAAGATGCACAGAGTGTATGAACCTTGTTCAAGTCAGAACGGCTTAAACTCGCCACACTCCTATATATATGTATGTATATCTACTGTATACATTACGTCCAGAGAGGGCAGTTTAAATTTGGGTTTTTTAATGAGACTCCAACATCAAGTGTGAGCTGAAACACTCGGTGCTGGAAGGCTGATATCAATGATTCAAGGAAAGCTTCACATACACAAGTCCCTGAATGTGGCAAAGAATACAGATGTAGGTTGTTGGCCGCGAGGCGTTCAGGGTCTGTCAGGAGGGCGGGTCGGGTCTGTCGTACCCAGAGCTGTTTTAGCTGCTGGCGATGCCGTGTTTGTGTTTTAGGGTCAGACTTTAGGGACAGACGTGGAGACGATAAACGGCTACAGCTTTCCTTTGGTTTCTAATCATGTCCCTGACGACTGTTCAACTCAGTTCAGTGGTTTAGTCTGTGTAAATGCATGAGGTTGGTAGGAGTGTGAGCGCCCCCTGCACCCTCAACCTCAGTCTGGGAAACCTCAGAACAATATGGCTTCAAGCGTTACACCAGAAAATCAGAGCTGTTGCCACTTGTCAAAAATGCTTTCATACAAAACAAAACAAAAAATCCACTGAAATTCTACATATCTTTAAATCTTGCTGTTAGACAACTTTTTAGAAACATTTCAAACAGCTTACTCCCCTTCACCAAAGCCAATTTCATAAAAATGTGATCTTATCTCACAGGAACAAAGGGACTGCTGGTTCACTACTGCCTCCTGTGGTCAGTTTGTTACATTGAGGTCAAAAAAGAAACCAACCAGAAATATCGTTGGAGACAGCAGTAGATCAAGAATTACCGTGGGACGTTATGTAAAATCAGTACATTTCTCTTTAGAGAAAGATGGACAGAGAGACAAAAAAGGACAGATAGCAGGACAGCTTTGACATTTAATCCATCAAATCCTCTTTAATCTGAATGTTAATGCTGCAGATTTATTTGGGTAGTGGTCTATAAAGACAGGGGTCTGACGTATATGTGGACTGACCTCACCTGAGACACGTCCACACCACTGATCGTGAACTTCACTCCCACACTGCCAGAGCCTTTAATTCTGGTATCGATCCTAAAATATTCCAGCCCACCTCCCTGATAATCGCATTAGGCTCTAATTCTGTCCTGAGGTTTTGGACTGGGTTAAAACCAGATAAGACTCAAAGGCTGTAGAACATCAACTCCCTGAGGAGAAGGAGAGAAGTCGCAGCTGTAAAGTAAAAACATAACGACTCAGTTAAAAAAAAAGAGAGAGAAACAGAGAAAAATAATGAGAGGAGAGTGGAAGAATGAAGAGAATATGACCAGGAGGCGGAGCTTCTTTACAGGCCTCATTAAAGGAGCAGAGTGAGGAGGACAAATCCCTGCAGCTATTGACATTTCACCATATTCAATATGACAGATATGAGTGATTAGTTCAGCAGCCGCCTCATCAATAATCTGCCTGCCAATCACTGCTGACCTTTAGGAGAGCAATGATGAATGGACAGAGCCACGGGACGATCCAATACCAGACCTTCAATCCATCACCAAGGTCGCCGCGGTGACGATGAAACGCGTTTGAAATGTGGTCAGATCTTTGGTTGAAGGTGTCGTCATTTTATCAAATGTTGCAAAAAAACACGACTGAGTTTTTGTGGGGCGTGACCTGATGAGTTCTAGTTCACCTTGATCTTCATATCTGAGAGCAGCAGCACTGTGCATATGTAGACCAGGAACAGTACCAGGAACCATTTGTAGTTCCACTGCAGTAACTAGTATAAAGAACTATGTGCCTTTAAATAGCATAGACTAAAGTCTAAAGAACTGTTGAATGTACTTTCTGCAGGAACAGTACCAAGAACAGTACCAAGACATAATGTTCAGTGTGCATATAAGAGGTACCAGGAAACAAAGTATGAGGTAAAGCACTGTAACTGTGTGTGTCTCTAATGGTGTCATCAGTTTTATTGACCAAAAACTGGTAACACACACTAAAAGAACTCTTCTAAAGACTAGGTACAGTACCAGGAACTACTGCATGTGGGTTAGGAACTAACTATGTACCACCCACAGCCACTGGGAACAGTACCAAGAGCTACACATGTATGTTCAGTAACAAAATACTACCATAAATATGCACATACTAATTACTTCAAGCAGGTACTACTACAACACCAAGTGTTTTAGATTAGAGCAGTAAGTCATTCCAGGAGTTAGTAAAGGGTTAATGACAGGTACTGTATGTGTCTCCACAGCAGGTTCTGGAACCTAGGAAGATCCTCCAACAACAGCCCAACATTCTGTGGACCTTACCTCAATCTTCCTCCAGACGTCTGGGTCTCTGTCCTGACTCTGTATGTCCTCCAGCAGCACCTGAACCAGTGAGGCACGTCCATGTCCATCCACTAGAGGTGCTGTCGTCCTCTGCTGTCGGTCTACAGATGCCCGGCCCTCATCGTCCTCTGACTGCAGGTCGCTCAGTGGGCCGGACTCGATGCTCTCTCCAACTGAGGGAGCCATGTCGCTGGAGGAGGTGGGGCTGAGACGGCTGAGGAGGTTTCTTCTGGACGGAAGCTAAAGGAAAGGACAGGGAGGGAGGAAGTCTGAGCTGATGCTGTTGACCTAAAGAACAGATCAAGGTCTAATGACTGCTGTGACTGAGGGTGGACATAAACAGGAGAGGTACCAGTGGAGGCAGAGGAGAGCCAGTGTCGTCACCACTTTCTCCAACGCTGTCCCACTCTGGGTTGAGCTCCGTCAAATCCCAGTCATCCACATCCTGCAGAGCCTCCTGCTGGCCGTCTCCAGGCCTCTGCAGGAGAACGTTTAAAATGCTCAGATTTTGGGTTTTTTTAACATGCTCAAATTAAATATGGTTCTTAAAAAAACAGAACTTTGATCAGCTCTGTGAACTAACCAGGGGGATGGACTGGGCCAGATGTTCCAGCTTCTCAGTGAGCATTTCAGTCTGATGGAGCTGAGCAGGGAGAGCCAGGAATTCCTCTGAGCCATACCAGTGCTCCCTTTCTGGAACCTCCTGCAGTGAAAACCAAACACAGACGATCAGATACCAAAAAAAATATTATATAAAAAAAACTAAAAATAAAAAAAAATCTCAAGAATGTCAAGAAAATATATATATATATAAAAAAAAAACATCACCTTCTGTTGGTGACGCTTCATGACCCACACCTCTGCTGTTGTACTGGGAGGAGGTCGGGGGTCTGACTCCTCAGCAGAGGCCTCCAGGTCTGAGAAGGGGAGCTGCTCCCTCCTGGGGGAGGGCAGGGAGGAGTCGGAGTCTCCCTCGCTGCAGAAGTGTGTTTCCTCCAGAGTTTTCTTCATCTGTTCGTGTCTGTCCTCCTCAGAGGTCTGTGTGTCCACAGACGAGCTCCTCTGCTCAGTCAGTTTTCTGTGCTGGTCCTCTGAGCGTCTGGAGATCATGTGGTTCCTCTGCAGGTTCCTTCTGTTCATCATCTGTGTTGTTGGTACAAACACAGGTCAGACATCATGACGTTTGTCACTCTGTTTAATTTACTTAAATCTCATTAGTTCAGCATTCATAAATTAAATAAAACAAGCTATTTTTTTGCTGTTGTTTATGTTGTGTGTACAACAAGACAAACCTGCAGATTTTCACAGGACTGTGAAACGTTCTCTGGATAGACCGACTCCAGCTCCAACCAGAACTTGGAGCGATCAGGAGGATCCATGAGAGAAGGGGAGCTGCGACTCAGCTCGGCCTGGAGCTGGAGCTCAGAGACGAGGCTGACCTTCTTCAAACTTCCTCTGGTCTCCTGAGTCCTGGTTCTTCTGTCTGAGGATGGAGGAGCCGACCTTTTGGGATGTGACGGCTGTGTGGGTGAAACCTCGGTGCTGTGGCTCACACCTAACGGAAGTGAACGTTTCCCTCCTTGACTGTGGCTTGGCGAGCCACAGTGCACTGTGGGTAGCAGTGTAGTAGGTGATGAGTGGTTGTGGTTGGTTCTGTCACTGGTTGTGAGTTCAGGTAAACTGTTGTGAAACTCCTGGTTAGAAGAGGACAAGTCCACTGATCCTAGGTCTGGCTGTGGTTCTTCACCTGCTCCAGCTTCTGTCTCCTGTGTAACACTCTGGTTGTCTGCTACTGTTTCTTGGACCTCAGGTTCGTCGCTGGGACTGTAGTCACTCAGCTCATAAGCAGTGATGCCACAGTCTAAAGAGAAGTAGTCCTGACTGCAGCGAATGGTCAGCTGACCACAGTCATCCACCTCAGTCAGAGCATCAAGACGAGTCTGTGGGAACACAGAAATCAACGCCTCAGCTGAGGGGACACGGCAAGAGTTTCCTCAGATTTACCCATGAGTCCCAGTTGGTCATTAGTCCCATTTCATGTTTAATAAAATGTCCCATTTTAAGGTCAACTCTGTTGCACTTTTAAATATTGGGAACCTTTTAGCTTTTAGCAATGATCTTAGCTAACCACTAGCTTTTGTTGCATTATCTTTCAGCTGTTGTGCTGAGGTGTTACTTCTGTCTCATAGTACCGATGAAGTTCTGGTCTTTTACCTGGTGCTGGTCCTGGCTGAAGGCCTGCAGGATGTCGGTCTGTCTGGTGTAGTTCCCGTTGGAGTCCTGTAGACCCTGCAACAGACGTTCCTTCAGGACCAGGACAGAGACTCTGAGCTGGTGCCACAGCAGCTGCACCGTCCTGAAACAAGACACATGTCACCGTCACAGCAATGAGGATCCTCCCTGCCCTGGTCAGACAGGAGCTGACAGGAGAACCAACAGTCAGCTGGTCTGGACCAACCTGATGTCCACGATGATGTTGACAGAGTAGGACAGGAGTTTCAGGGAGAACTCTGTCTCCAGCAGGGCGTGAATCTGCTCCACATGGTCACTGATGTCCTCACAGATGTCCTGACACACACACACACACACACACACAAACACAGCATGAGTGACAGAAACAGGGAATGAAGCTCTGTAGACAGACAGTAAAAGCAGAAGTGATGATGGACACCATGTTTCCAGTTCTTTTTGTGACTCAGGTTCATGGAGTCAGTTCCATGTCGATATCTAAACACTGTTCTAACACATCCACAGACAGACTGAGGGAAAACATGACCCTGGGTTCATTCCCTGCACAGACAGACAGACAGACAGACAGACTCCCACAGCAGCAAAAATAACCACTTTATTAGGAACAGCTCTAAAATACAATTTAATATCACCAGGGTCGGCTCAAGCCCTTTTGGTGACCTGGACAAGATTATGGTTTTGTGCCCCCTCCCACCTCCCAGCACACAGAAACCACTGCAGATATTAATGGATAACAGCCGTATGACCCACAACACACACACAAATAACACAAATCACATTTTTAAATCATAACAAATAAAACCAGAGTTCCTTGCATCAGCAGCCTCACCAGCTGGTGGCACTCTAGTTGACCTCTCATATGTATGGCCTGTGAACAGCTCAGTCCACTGTGTTTTTAAAGTGATGATTAAACACTCCTACTGTTTTGATGTTAAGGTAAGAAATTAGCCCAGAAACCATGTGTAATTCTAGTAGTGAATGGTGGGAGTAGGAGTCCAACATCCAAAACCAACTGGAAATAAGGTCCCTGCTGATACTGTCACAGAGAAAGGTAAGTTTTAGTTTGACTAAATGACTAAAGCTTTTTTTTGTTCCACCACCTGAGACTGAAAAGTGACTTTTTTTTGTTTTATTTTATTTCTGTTGTTGCTTTGTAAATAAAACTATATTCGTTCAAACATTGATGACAGCCGACCTTTGAACATGCCCGTGACCTGACTCTGACCTCTGCTCAGTTACTTTACATGCACCTGAGGTGGCGCTGAGTCACCATGTGGCTCCATGGTGACCTGGCTGAACAACAACACAACACCCTCCCTCCAGTGGCTAGCACTGCTTTTTTTTTTCTTAAGCTCCGCCCACCCGCTCGCGCTCTCCCGGCATGTGAGAATGTAGGTCGCACTCTGTGCCAGCCAGGCTCACGTTCGTTTGGCTCAGAGGCTGACCTGCTGATCTACCTCCCAAAATAACCACCACTACTGTAAGAGGTGCTGGCGGCAGCCGCAGCCAGGAGCTTCTGTAACATGGTGCGCAAATGGTCTCCGCTGCCTTAAACAGGTTCATGAATCATGAAGTCAAATGAGCAGCTGAGGGTGAAGATGTTGTTCCTTTTGAATCTCTGAAGAGAAGATGATGGGTAAAGTGCTGTTTATGAGCCACAGAAAGACATGCTGCCTCCTGTGGTCAATTTGTGTCACTGAAGTCCTACTGTGACTGAAGAAGTTTTCAAACGGATGTCTTTAATCACTCACATGCTCATCATCGGGTTTTGTTCTGAACTCCATCAGATTTCTTTTTTTTCCCCAAACTATAAGAACATTTGAAGGACCCGGATTTCAGTCCTTGGATCAGACCAGCAGTGGGTTGTGATCCGATGTCAAAGAATTCCTCCAGAATTATGCAACGAGACAACACTAATGTAGAAGAGTTTAAACTGGAACTGAATTACACTGGAACTGAATTACACTGGAACTGAATTACACTGGAACTGAATTACACTTGAACTGAATTACACTGCTCGTTCATGATAGATGTTTTAATTATTTGTTTTTTAACTTCTTGACTTACTGTATCCTCCTAAACCTAAACAGATTATTTAATCTGTCATCAACACAAAAATTATCAATACCACATTTATGTTTAAGTTGGAACGCACAACCTAAACAGATTATTTAATCTGTCATCAACACAAAAATTATCAATACCACATTTATGTTTAAGTTGGAACGCACATTAAACCAATAATTTCTCTCTGTGGAGAGTGCAGGAGAGACAGTCATGTATAAACTTCAGCGTTTCGATTAAAAAAGGTAAAATTCAAACAAGATGAACTTGAACATTCAGCTAAGTTTTGCACCTGCACCGACAAAGACAGAGTTGCATCATCAAAGTGGTGTCACTGGACCACCAAAACTGTGGCCCAAATGTCACTGTCTTCCACATGCTTCAATAATTCACACACACCACAGTCTGCGTCGCATGGATAAGAAGTGGATTTTGCATTTCTTTCTGGAGTCATTTGTTAGAAGACCTTTGGTCCAGTGACAGCCGTGTGCTAACAAGGGTCTGCAGAGAGTGTGTGTGTGTGAGAGAGAGAGAGTGTGTGTGTGTTTCCGTTTCCAAGGGATTTGATGTCATTTTATGTTCCCACTGAAACAAGAAACTAATCATTTCTAGTAACTAAGACACACACACGCGTGTGTTTGTGTGTGTGTGTTTTCACACCTCAGTCAGGTAGATTAAAGACATGACCAGTCAATCACAGAGTCCATAGATCAGCCCATCTTTCTAATTGGCTAAAAACCATCTGAAGCTCATCGACCGCAGGCTTCAGCTCCAATCTGGTCGGAGCTTCATCACCACCGACATCAGACTCTTCAGCGCGGCTGCATTCAAATCAGCGGCGACAGCTCAGCCTGGTCCACGATCGCATTCTATCTAATAACCTTCAACTCCTCCACCGCAGCCCCCTCGGCGTCCTTTACCTCTGAGATCAAATACTCTGGTGCGACTGCTCCCCCTGGAGTATGTAAATGAGGGGGCTTCAAAGAGGAACAGGCCCACTGCTCAGATATCAAGACTTTTTAATCTCTGTCAAAGGAGATGGTTCTGACACCAAACTCAAGTCTCTGGTCGCAGGTTCACCGCTCCTCTGTTTGCTCAAGGACGAGATTACTGCACAGAGAAGTCAAAGTGAATAAAGTAGTATTCCCTAAAGCTGTTTGTTCACAACCAGGGAAGACTGTTTGAAAGGTCTATCCCTGAGATGAAATAATAATACTTGTTAATGGTCAGCTGTGTTTGCTTGTCCAACGATGTTAGACTTTATAAATCTGTGGTTAAAGGCACATTTTTGATCACAACAAGGTCTGTGGTTAAATAATGCTGTCATCTTTGATACATTTCAGCATTCTGCTGACTTTACTAGATACATCAGCAGCAACATTCATTAACTTTGAACTATTATTTACTTCAGTTTTGAAAGAATCGGAAGTATATTTAAATTCCTTTTACCTTAAGTGGCTGTAATTGAGAGCATTAATAATGAAGCAGATACAGATGGAGGTGAAGAAACCATAAACATAAACAAACATTCACACCTCCACATACACTCCAACTTCACTACCATCAACCTCTGAGCAAC